TATAACGTATATATATACGTTATTAAAGCCGTAGAGCAATACAAATTTCTATACATTACAATTAATTTGTAAGATAAACAGTTACAGTCTTATTACGTACAAAATATTTTATTTTTTGATACATTTAATTTAATATATACTGCCGGTATGAAAATCTACAGTTCGCGTTACATATACTATAGATTTCATACCAACAGTTCGACGCCAAATGTTTTGCTTTTCGCAGTTGGTTAACCTGACCCCCTCAAGCTCCAAAACGACAAAAAGCGCAACATTTTTAGAAAGAGACGCTTGCAAACTGCACACATTTTTTAAGCATTTTTTAAGAAGAGTTTTTCTTGGCAAAGATACTCTCAGTGGTTTGCCATTGCTTTCCGAGAGGCGGCCATCGCCTCCGAATTGATTAAAATTAATTTCAGAGTTATATTATTCTGGGTGGATTTGAACCCGGATCTCTAGCTTATAAAGCTGCCGCGCTGCTCCTCGCGCAACAATCGCCACAAATTATATTTTATTAATTATATATATATAATTAATAAAAAATCTAATATAAAATTTAAAAAATTAATTACTATGAAATATTAAAGAGACTAAAACAAAATAATTATTTCATATTTGTGCTTACAATAAGTTTTATAAGCAAAACTACAAATCAATCCAGAATGCTTGATTCTTAATTTCTTTTTCCTTTTTTTTCATTTATTTTGTACAATATGTTTGTGGATAAATACATATGTAATGTTATTTATAAACATAATTTTTTTTCATAAATAGATTGATGTATATTGTTATGCGAACTATGTCAAATTAAAGAAAAAGTCATAAAGTGTGGCTAATAAAAGATATGAAATATTATGTATGTCATTATGTATTTTTGTTATTAATGTTAACGTATTACCTTATTCACTCAATAACGAGAAAAAGTAGAGTGATATATTAGTAAGAGAAAATTTCAAATTGTTGAGGCGAATGGTTAAGAAATTATGTGCTCAATATTATGTATTAAAAATATTTATGTCTTCTTTCAGAAGAATGTTTTTATTATTATATACTCTTAATTATATAGAATACAAATTTTATTCCTTTAGCGTATACTCTTATATATTTTTTTGTTTTTTTATTCTGTCACAGTTTTTCTAACGATTACATCGCAAGCAACTCAGTTTTCTTAGTTTTTTCAGTTCAATGGCAGAAATTGGCTTTCTGTTATTGAAAATAATACATTTTTGGGTTTTTTAACAAACATCCGCTATATAAAATGAGAAATAGTACTCTAACATTCTTCAAAAGGGGATATTGTTTAAGTATAGTAGTAAGCGATTTAAGTCTTCTACTTCCGACTCCATCATCTCATCCTCGTCACTTATACGGGGATAGCTTGGGATGAATATACGCCCTGGTTGACTTGTTCAGCATATGGCTGTCGCAGAGTAACGCCAGGCAGCTCCAATCTATGGATGTGACATGCTCGACCATATGCACGTCCGCAGCGTTGTCTTTATTATTTTCGGTCTGTAAATAAATATTCCATTTAAATAATTCTCTCTCTCTCTCTCTATCTCTCATAATACTATCGGCTTATTATTCTCAATAAGAAAAGAGTTATACCTGAGGATACAACTTGCGCACGCTGGGATAATGAGTGATCGTCTCCACGGTGACATTTCCAAAGGAGAACCGCGCCTCGATCTCCGTTATGTCGAGATTCCTCGTCTTCTTCGCCTCGGCGAGCACGAATCTCGAGGGGTGCTAGGCGAGCTTGCGTCATCACACTTTGCGCTCCCGCTGTTGAGAATCAAATTAATCTTATATTATATAAATATATTATATAAATAATATATGGACATTTGTGAGAAAATATAATAATTGCTTCAAAATGCAAATTAAATCTAGCTAAAAAAGTAACTATCTGGTAAAGAGAAACATAATCTGTTTTGTTTTTAAAGGAAGTAATTCAGTATTATGATGTGCAAGCAATGTAATAATGTGTAAGCAAGCATGCTGGAAAA